ATAACAGAACAAAGTAGCAGCATTATTAGGCTTCTCAGGGAACGAAGCTAAAATGGATCAAAGTTTCTACATCTTACTGGAATTAAGCTTGTATAATTTTAAGTAAATTCTGATACAGCTTAAAAATTAGTAAAGAAATTAAAATGGTACATTAGAAAATATCCATTTAATACTACAGAAGTCCATAAAGGAGGAACAGAGGAACAAAAAAGACATTAGACAGACAAAAAACAAACAACATAATGGCAGACATAAATCTAACTATATCCATAATAACATTAAACATGAATGGCCTAAACAATCCAATCAAAAGACAGAGACTGTCAAAATGCATTAAAAAAATAAACAAAATCTGACAATATGCTAGCTACCATAAACATACTTTAGGTCTAAAGATATAATCAGGCTGAATGTAAAAGGGTGGGGAAAGATATATTATGCAAACAACAACCATAAAAACTAAAGTAGCTGCACTAGTACCAGATGAAATAGATTTTAAGACAAAAAGTATTACTAGAGACAGATGAATATTTTATAAGAGGGTTAATTCATCAGAAAGATCTAATAATTATAAACTTACATGCACTTAGGAACAAGGCACCAATATGAGACAAAAATGAATGGAGAATAGAGAATTCAGCAATAATAGTAGAGGACTTCAATAGCCCACTCACTCTCAATGGCTAAAACAACTAGACAGAAAAACAGTGAAGGATATACAAAAAGCATTTGACTGCAAACCAGAAGGTCAGAGATTCAAATCCACTAGCCCCTCCACAGAAAGAGGATGGGGCAATCTACTTCCATAAAGATTTATACCTCAGAAACCCAGTGGGGGTCACTTTGAGTAGGAGTCGACTCACTGACAGCAAGTATCAACCAAACAGATCTACATGCATCCACAGAACACTGCATGTAGCCAGTGCACATAGAACACACTTCAGGAAAGTCAGAAAGCAATTTATTATTTAAAATAGTTGAAATCATACAAAGTGTTCTCTCAGGCTCTAAATTAGAAACCAGTGAAGAAGGAAACGGGGGTAATTCTTGAATATGTGGAAATTCAAGAATTCACTTCTAAACAACCAATGGGTCAAGGAAGAAATTATAAGAACAATTAGAAGGATGACTGGAAACAGAGCCATCTGTCGAGGAGACTCAACCAGGCCCCAATGACCTGTGGCTAAGAGCAAAAAAATTCTGACATTTGCCACTGATTTTAATCAAAATACTAAATTAAGTACATCAGGCTCACATCTGCTCTGAGCAGATGCTCATTAGGATGAAAGTAAAAAAGATTATGTAGGACAGATAACTAATACTCTACATTACTCAGGCCCCTAGCCCTTAGAAGTTTTTTATTCTTCCAGTAATTACCAGAAAGCTGTCAAATGCTGGGGTTTCTCATTTCACTATTACGAGGCCTCAAATATGCAGGAAAATATTATAAGCTTAAGAACCTTTGGCAGATATCCCTACTTGAACACAAGCAAAACATGGTACAGAAGACAGAATAGAGGCATTATGAGTCAGACAGAACTGGTTTTAACGTACCTAGCCTGTCTCTAACTGTTATACTGAGCAAATGATACAACCTCTCTCTCTGAGCCTTAGTTCCCTTTTCTACAGAATATTACCACCACCACCACCACCACCTACCTCACAGGGTTGTTGTACTGATTAAAGGAGATGCTGTATGGGAAAACACTTAGGACAGTTCCTGGCCCATACTAGGCAGTCAGTAACTTCATTTCCTTCTTTATTATCAGTTGCTTTTGCAGTAACAGAACAGAGCCAGAGTTGTCTGCTAAAAAGTCAGCAGGGGGAGCTCCCCTAGTTTTTCATGTATCCACAAAAATATACCTGGTACAGTTATAACTTTAGAGGTATTTCTGCCTCTGTAAGATTGGGTTCAGAATCTGTACTGCTGAAGATGGAGAACAGCTGAGGTTAATGGGTAAATGGAAGTCTCCAGGAATTTAAGCATTGTGGGTAAGGCACCAAGATAAGGGAGAAGTAATGAAGATTAACAGACTACCAAAATACTTCTATGCAGCAGCTTCTGTTTTCTATTATCGCTTGTAGGGCTCTTGTGAGAGGAAGTAGACAGAATGGATCTTAATTTTCTACAAATCCATTTTCGTTGATGATTTCAAATAGCTTCTGGCTAGTGTCCACTGGAGACTCATTTGTTACCACAGGACTGGTCATGCCTCCAAAAACTGCAGGTGTGTGTCTGCTTTCTGCTCCCGGGTCTGCCAGATTTCTGGGCTTTACCCTTGCAAACAGCCAGTTACCGTCCAGAGCCACAAACTTATGCCTGGGGCCAAGAACCAAAGAGCAAGACTGATGTCTCTGGCTAACCACCTAGACTTTGAGCTATACAGGGAAGGGATCATGCCTGTCTTTTTTGTTTTGTTATTCCCAGAGCCTAGAACAATGCTTGGCATACAACAGCTGTGGAACAAATATCTATTGAATTTAATTGTTTTGAGACTATACCAACCTCATTCCAATGATACAAGAGAAAGTGCCTTTCCAGGAAAACTTGGGAGTGCTTACCGCTAAAAGGCCAATTTCTCTTTCATTTTGAAAACCATTATTGTACCAGCTCTATTACATGATCACAAGTAAGTTTAATAAAGAACAAAACATCTGTATTCAAGAGAGCAAGGCACAGGGAAAGGGCTATTTTGTTACATAATAAGATTTTCCTCACTAAGCACCATTGGGTCATAAAAAGCTAATCTAACAACCACTGAAAGTAACTGGAATTTGACCAGATAAGAAAAACCCTGAAGGTCAGCTAAGTACACCCTAGGAAATCTCTCTTCTAGATTAAAGTACAAGCAAAAGAACAGTATTTTCACACTCTGCCTTTAAAACAATTTTGGCAGGCAGACTAGAAAGGTAGGTTAGCATCCAAGTTCTGGAGTCTCACTGCCTGGGTCCAGTTCTGGCTCCCCTACTTCCTGGCTGTATTGCTTTGGGCAAGTTAGCTCTCTGGGTTTCACGTTTTGGAATTTTCTCAAGACAAGAAACAAGTAATAGAACTGACAACAGAATCTGGAGGGACATCCAAATATTTATCAACGATGACGGCTTTTAAGAAAAGACTAATAGGCACTCTGCAATATATACCTTGAAAAAACGGGAAAAACAAGTTTAATTGTGGATGGAACTTATCTGCTAATCTAACTCAAGAGTGAGGTCCTCTGCGGTCAGGTCCTTTGCGTAGCAGTACCCTGCATCCTTTTCTAGAGGACATTCTCAGCAGATTTCCCACTTGTAAATAAATGCCTGGTTGAACACCACACCTATATTCAAAGATATCTATAAGTGAAATCAGGTCATTTGGGGTCAGACCTCTCTGGCATAGAGGAGGGAACACATTTCGTAAACTGTTATTGAAAACCACGAAGAAAAGGAAAATAAACCACACAGCTGTTCAAAATAAGCTAAATGCCAAAGGAACAGACATTTGCCTTCAGCAGAGGAGAGCATGGGGTACTGTGTGGGGTGGTGGAGGCAGGTGTCAGAAACAAAGAAGGGTGGAGAAGAGCTCAGTAGTGTTGCCTGGGGCCAAGTGTCCACATGCCATCAGCCAAGCCACACAGAAGCACCAGGCAAGGGGAGGCCATGGAGGTCTATTTAACAACTAGGGTCAGAGCCTTCCTCACATGAGTTGTCAGGATACTATTGTATAGTCTGCCCCCCATCAGGCCTGGGCCTATAGAGAGTCCTGGCATGTGCCAGAGAAACCACTAAGGTTTCTGGGATTTCTAAGCCTTGGTGTTGGGTCAAGGATATGAGAGCTCTGGTACTGTAGTGCCTAAGGCATCTGACTGCTAACCAGAAGGCTGGCAGTTCAAACCCACCAGCAACTCCTCGGAAGGAAGACTGGGCAATCTACTTCTGTAGAGATACCTCCTTGGAAATCCAAGGAGGTGTCACTATGAGTTGGATCCAACTCAACGGCAGTGAGAGCGAGAGACCCCATGGCCTACCAGCTGCCACAACTGCCATCAAATTCACTGCCGTCAAGTCAGATCTGACTCATAGGAACCCCTCCTTGTGTTTCTGAGGTGGTATCACTACGGAAGGAGCTGAGTTAGGAGTCACTAAACTAAAGCTTGCAACATTCTTTCAGCATGACAGGCCACCGGTTCACACAGATCCCTCTCTACTTTTAACAACCACATGACCCAGATTTTCCAAAACAGGATACCATTTTGAATAAAATGCTTATTAAAGATAGATTTAAATGTGGTTTAACTTTTATACCTTCACATACATAAATTTACAAATTGGTGGGTGGGGAAATAACCCTCATAAGAATAAAATATAATTCTGCTTTGACTCCTTCTCTAGAGACTTCCCAAAAGCAGCAGCACACACTATGCTTACAGGCCTGGTCACATCACGCCGTAGACCCCGAAACACTGGCCACTAAGCTATTTAGTCATCCTAAAACTGCCGAAGCTGGGTTTGCCTGGCTCCTTTTCTGTTCTGTGGAGCTTTCTGAGCCAGCGCCACGGGTCTCTTGTCCCTCCTCCTTCCTCGGCAGATTCTACAGTGCCTAGAAGCTCCATGTGCTGGCAGTCACAAAGGGTTGGAGAGGTGTGCAGTAAGCTCCTAATTAAATCACGGGATCTGTCTCATGAGCATCGCACCAACTGAAACATGAACAAGACACCTTTATCATTCAATTAAAAGCATGACCAGAACCTAATTGCTGGATTAAAGCAGCAGCTGGTTTAAACAAATAATTAAAAAAAAAAAAAAAAAAAAATCTGAAGGATGTGGGCATGGGCAAGAGACACAGTTTTCCTCAACCTAGTGGTTTGTTTCCTTGAAGTTAGGAACTGAGTACATGCTACAAAGCAGAGTTCAAGGCAAATGTCAAGACGCCATTACATCAACACAGATAAAGAGGGAGGAAGCTTCATCTGACTCACTGCTCCTTCAAATTTTCAACATCCATAGAAACAGTTCCTTACCTGCCAGGACCCTGTTAACAGAAGAGTGAGTAGCCAAGCCAGGCTGTCCACGTTCATGAAAAATCCCAGCATAAGGCAGGTATTCAGGCAGCAAGAAACGCCTACAAGAAGGAATTGTGTGTGAAAAGCCTACTAAAAACTACCATAAAACAAAAGGGCTATATTATCTACCTACTCTCAAAAATCAGGGGTAAGGAACCCAGTGAACCTAATGAATCCACAGTAGCCCACAAAGCAGTAAAAATTCCTAGGATCCATTCTTCCACAGATCTGTATCTTCTTCCTACCATTCCTTCTAAAGTAAGGGTTCCCAGGGCTTACTCTTAAACAGGATGCTCCTAATGCCACTTCTCTTTTTCCTGAGGTTAATCATCTCCCACCAATTCCCTAGGTGACACGGTTGGACTGTAGGCTCACTAGAAAGTGATACCAGGTATGGACAATCCAAAGATCAGAAACTAGGTTTAAAAATGAAATTCTAGGCTCTCATAACGACTCCCTCTGTGGCAGACTGTCCAGTTCTTACCTGGGGACAAAGCGGCCAAGTGAAGGTGCAGACATACGGGCGTTGCGGGGAGCTCTGTGCCTGGATCTGTCACCACTGTCCCTGTGAAAACAGAGACTAGATGTAAGAGTCATGAAGGCAAAATCACCTGAAAGATAAACATCTTCAAAACTAATTCTTACACTTAGGAGAAGACATCACAGCAGTAAGTCATCTCATTTCTCAGTAATTCGGGTGATATATTGATACACTGCATTTCTGGAGCACATCAAGTAAAAAATTTATAAGCATCTATTGACAGTTCAATATGGAGGAGGAAGATTTTCCTTGAGTTAATGTGGTCCCTGAGACCTACAGCATCTGATATTAGAATCAAGTTTAGACCTTCCAACGCATCTGAAACAGATACATGTATGTGAGAACTTCTTTTTCTAGATTGAAAAATGCAGAGAAATTTTTTTGGAGCTCTTGAAGGAAGAAAAAAATTCCCCCATCAATTTCTCTCAACAAATGGTACCTTCAAATGAACCTGTTTAGGTAACTGACATGGAAAAATCAGGGATAAGTGAAAGAAAAAAAAAAAAAAAACCCCACAAGATTGGACAGTCACTTCTTTTAGAGAATGAAAAATAGACAACAATGAAGAATACTAGAAAATGTAATCCTAAGCCAAGTCATTTGAGTTAAAAAAAAAAAAAGGGTACATGTTTTCTTTATGGACTATGAAGTTGTTCTTCTACCACTTTTTCTCTGTTCTTATCATGTTCCCTCCTAAGGCTCTCCAGCAGCATTTCTAAGGACTTGGATAAAAATGCTGAAAGATTACACAGTACATATACATGAGTGCTCGCAAACCCCAAAGCAACACTAAGAGCTGTTTATTTATTTATTTATT